CAACTTGCCATTGGGATTATGGATGGAGGCGCTTAAAACCGCCATTCACATTCTCAATAGAGTACCAAGCAAGTCGGTGCCCAAAACACCGTACGAGCTATGGACAGGAAGGGTACCCTCCCTACAACACTTCAGGGTGTGGGGGTGCCCTGCTGAGGCCAAAATGTTTAATCCAAACATTGCAAAGTTAGATCCCAAAACAGTTAGTTGCCACTTCATTGGCTATCCAGACAGATCAAAAGGTTTTCGTTTCTACTGCCCAGACAGATATACAAAGTTTGTAGAAACAAGACATGCAGTCTTCTTTGAGGACGAAATGATGAGGGGGTGCATGCACCTAATCCGATGATTCAGGAGCCATTTTTCTCACTACCAGTTGCAACTCCACCCATGACAACCTTGGGGGTACACCCGGAACCTGTCCGTCAGGAGCCGACTGAACCCATTGTTGAGCATGAAAGGGAGGTGCAATAGCAAATTTTAGAAGAAGTGCCAGAAGTTGAGGCACAGAACGTGCCAGAAAATAAGGCCCTAAGAAGGTCTACAAGACCAAGAAAGTCAGCTATTTCTACTGACTTTAAAGTTTATAACACATAAACGGTTTATATGGAAAAAGATCCCACCTCATATGAAGAAGCCATGAGAAGCCCTCATTCATCGATGTGGATGAAGGCAATGGAAGACAAGATGAAATCGATGAGTTCCAAAGATGTTTGGGACTTAGAGAAAATTCCTAAAGGAGCCAAAACAGTAGGCTGTAAATGGGTCTACAAAATTAAGTATGACTCTAAAGGGAATATAGAAAAATATAAAGCACGACTCGTGGCAAAAGGATTTACACAAAGATAAGGGATAGATTACAATGAGACATTTTCTCCAGTCTCATGTAAGGATTCCTTCAGAATCATAATGGCATTAGTTGCTCATTTTGATTTAGAATTACATCAAATGGATGTTAAGACGTCATTTCTGAATGGTGATTTAAAAGAAAATGTCTACATGAAACAGCCTAAGGGTTTTATCATGGAAGGCAAGAAAAATATGGGATGCCGCCTGAAGAAATCCATTTATGGATTAAGACAAGCCTCTCGGCAGTGGTATCTAAAGTTTAATCAAACGATTAAAAGTTTTGGATTTAAAGAAAATATTGAGGATAATTGCATTTATGCAAAGTTTAAAAATGGGAAATATATTTCCTAATCTTGTATGTGGATGATATCCTGCTTGCTAGTAGTGATGTTAGTCTACTACGAGAAACAAAGAAATACTTATCCTCAAATTTTGACATAACAGATCTTGGTGAAGCATCATATGTTTTGGGCATAGAAATTCACCGAGATAGGAACAGTGGAGTCTTAGGACTATCGCATAAAGCATATTTAGAAAAGGTTCTTAAAAAGTATAATATGCATGCGAGTAAAGCCACACCTGCTCCTATAGTTAAGGGCGATAGTTTTGGGAAATTCCAATGTCCCAAGAACCAATACGAGATCGATCAAATGAAAGCAGTACCATATACTTCGGCAGTTGGCAGCTTATAGTATGCACAGGTGTGCACTCGCCCTGACTTAGCTTTATCACCGGGGTACTCGGTCGATATCAAGAGAATCCAGGCATGGAGCACTGGAAGATGGTAAAGAAAGCATTGCGTTATGCGCAAGGCACGAAGGACTACATGCTAATATACAGGAGAAGTGAATCTCTAGAGATAAAAGGGTATTGAGACACAGATTTTGCGGGGGACAGAGAAGATAGAAAATCCACGTCAGGATACGTCTTCACTCTCGCTGGGGGAGCTATTTCGTGGAAAAGCTCCAAACAGTCAATAGTTGCATCATCCACGATGTATGCAGAATTCATAGCATGCTTCGAAGCCACGGGGCAGGCGATATGGCTAAAGAAATTTGTACCCAACTTGAAAGTGGTAGATTGTATTCACAAGCCACTAAAGATGTATTGCGACAACCAACCCACAGTATTTTACGCTCACAACAACAAGTCGAGTAATGCTGCCAAAACAATAGAGATAAGGTATTATGTTGTGAAAGATAAAATCCAGGATAAACTATAAGTCTCGAGCATATAAGGACAAAGGATATGCTTGCGGATCCGCTAACGAAAGGCTTACCACCCAATGTGTTCAAGGAACTCATAGCTGGCATGGGTTTAAGGGAAAGCCTTATGATTCCTGGATAGGCCCAAAAGGAACCGAATTTGCTTCTGGTCATAACGTATGTTGTAGCTGTATGATTCTAATGGCAATTAAGCTGTGATGATGAAACATGCTCTATGTACCAATATGTGATGAAACAAATAAACTAGAAAGTATAAGCTCAAAAGTAAAAGTTGAGATCAAGGGGGAGAATGTTAGGTTGATCTCTCCACCGAGTGGGCTCAACGGCCCTTCGGGCCCTGAGCTATTCGCGCCCTGATCGGGGGCGCCCAACCGTTCTATGGTTGGTGGGCCCCTGTGACCTGCGATATATAAAGAGGTGGGGGCCGGGGCGCACGGTACGAGGTTCACCGCGCCGCCAGACTCCCCACCGATATCCCCTTCCGATCTAGGGCAATCGCAGTGCTCACGGGAAGCACACCACCGCCGCCATCTCTGTCCACAGCGCCGCCGTCACCACACCACCATGGCAGGAACTGGATCGAGCTCATCCGCACCCAAGGAAGGTAGGTTACCGGAAAGATCTAGCCTACCTCGATCCATATGATCTATCATAGATACATTAATTCAAGCTAGCTCCTTTTGCAGTTCTCTTGAGGTGTGTGTGCCTATATAAAGTTCCGGCATATATGAAGCGCATATTTTAGTTGCACTACTGTTGTATGTGTAATGTGTACATGCATTCAGTTTATTGTGTGTGCAACCACTGTCGAATGAGCTTGCTTAACTGCACGTGCATCAATGATATGTTTAGGAAAAGGAGGCACCGGGGAACGAGGGGAAACAACTTGCTCGGCAACAAGAACGACTTTATATTCGTTCCCAATGCCAAGGTCTCTGCTTCAAGTTAGAATGAGTAGTGTACCTACAGGCAGGATGTCAACGACCTACACAACATCCACGCTTGTGCTGGAGAGTGGGTCACCAATCCCGGCCTTGGCTTGATCAAGAGATAGGGCTGCCGCTACAAATACGATAGATTTCCACATAGGAAGGCTGGCTTGAAAAGGAATGGCGGCTTCTGCCGAGAACTTGACTTGGGTACTCTGTGCATCTTTTTCCTCTCCTATGTCCGTAATCTCTCTTCTTCCTTGAGATCCACTTGTAGTTATTAATTTGTTGCTAGAAAAATGGTGATGGGGTCAATATAGTACTGGGATCGTAGCATTTGGTATTCCGAGCTATAGATTCTCACCAAATTTCCACAATACCCCTGCCAAAACCCAACCAATTTTCTTACATTCCGTTCAATCGAAGCCACGGATTTTCGGAGTCCGACCAAGAGGGCAACGTATTACGGGCAGGTCCTCCTGATTTTGACCACAAGCTCGAGTGTTTATCTTTAGAGCCAAAGGCCAATTTATCTTTTCTAGTGTTTTTGGGCTTCTCGGGGATTTGTCAGGACAGAAAATACGGAATATTTACCGGACCTTGTGTACCCGATAAAATCATTCACGAACAGAGTCCCACTTCATCTATTCGCAAAAAAAAAAAGAGTCCCACTTCATCGGGAACAAATCGCAAAAGAAAGCTATGCGTAATGGCCATTGTTGGGGAAATATAAATGAGGTATGAACAAAATCATTTACTAACAGTTGAGAAAAAAAATCTTCCTTTGCAAGATGCAGGCACCATCCCCAGAATAACTCTCACGAAGCAAACCCGGCGAGCCGGATGGCTGGCTCAAGCGTGATAAGCAACGCGGTTGATGGCGAGCGGGCGCGCGTGCCTTGCAGTTGGTAGACGTCTATCCGGTCATCGCAAGCATCGTCCGGATGGCCCTTTCGGACAACCTGTCACTCACCAAACCCAGACAGGCACACGTGCGGGCCCGGCTAGCGCAACAGGACCAACTTGGCCGGGGCCAAAGGCCAACCATCATTCTGGATCATCCCTTGATGTTGTACGGACATAATCACTAGGAAACTATTCACAAGAAACATCTTTGAAATAGTTTACTTAACTTCCTTCTTATACTCCCTCCGTCCAGGTGCATAAGCCAACTTAGGTTGCAATGCGACCAAGGCGAAGGAAAAAGCGAGAACTTAATGTTTATTTGCTAATTAATAGCATCACATGCAATGAACTCAGCACTGCATGTCGTGTTTGGTAGTCTCAAGTCATTGAAAGCATATACACCCGCATTTCTTATTGGTTGATTCCTTTATTTATGTCAAAAAAAATAAGAAATGAGGTGAGAGTTAATGCACCGCGCCTAAATGTTTTGGGATTATTTGGTTTCGTAAGGTGACTTATACACCTAGACCATGGGAGTAATTCGTTTAGCTTCTAGGTTGCGATTGATTTTTGCGCCAATTGGACCATTCGCAAGAAACAACTTTAAAATAATTCAGTTAACCTCCATCTTATATTTCAAATAGTTCGCTTACCTTACAGATTGCAGTTAGTCTCTACGTCAATTGATGCAATGGGTTGGTTAGTTAAGAGACAACACTAAGAGATAACTCATTGTACATGTATTTTTATTGTCATCTTTGAATTCAGGACTGGATTAAGACAAAGGCTAAGCCTATCAACCACCTCACAGGCCTGTACCAACCAAAAGCCACCACCTCACCATATAAAACCAATTTTATAACAAAATCATCCGTAGGTTTAGCATCTCTGGCGGGCAACAAAGGTCTATCAGTTGTGCTGGCGTGTGGACATGATGGCCGGCGCGGCAAACGGGCCGTCAAGCATCCCACGGGCCATGATCTTGTACGCCGCCTCCGTCAAGTGCAGCCCATCCCACGACAAATACCTCGACGGGTCCGAGCACTCCACCGCCCCCGCGCGACCGGGGATCAAGACGGGGTAGCACGCGTCAAGCACCGTCTCGACGCCAAAACCATTCTCCGCCGGCTTGGTGACAAGGCTGAGCACCTCGCCATAGTAGTCGACGTAGGTGATGGAAACACCGGGATGGTAACTCCACCACGCGACCCGGTGTGGCGGAGAAGTGGGCGATGTAGTTGCCGGTGTCGATCAGAGAGTCACCGAAGCTGAATAAACGCTTGTAGCAGCTGCTCTGGTTCTCCGGCGCACGCGACGCCACGATGGCCACAGACAGCGCAAGAAGAGCGGCCGCCACCACGAGCTTCCGAGGCAGAGACGACGCCTATGAAATCATGGTGGATGGATGGAAAGTAATTGTTTCGACCTCACTAGGTTCCGTCTTGATGCCCGGGCTTGTAGCTAGCTTTTATGATGAGGCCGATCTTGGATGACTGGCTATCTCGCGGCTCTAACATGTTTGAATCGGGCAGGCCGGATAAGCTTAGGCGACGTGTGTACGTGCGTCATCGGCCTCTTGCTTGCAATATAAAAGCCAGAGCCTTCAAATTTCATACAGTAAGCAGTATATCTTTTGATTTTTTTTTGAAAAGGGGGTTATCCTCTGCCTCTGCAACTGAACGATGCATACAACCATAATTATTAATAAGCAACAGGTTTAACACAAGTCTTTATGTCTCGAACAAAGAACAAAAAAGACTCACAAAGAGCTAAACAGTAACAGAAAAGCCATAACCGGTCACTGACAGAGGCCATGGCAACGTTGGCATGCCACGTAAGCATAATATGCATCTAGATATGGACACAGGCGGAGGACCCGGTAGGGCGAGGTTGGGCGCCCGCCCTACCTTGATTTTGTACGATGCAATTTGTACAGGTATACGCATCGCTGGATCGCTGGCTGGCTGGCTCCTGGTTGCCTCGCTAGGTAAAAAAAGGAGAAAAGGGAATGGGCCATCGAGCGAACGCAGGCCGCATTATTTGGGCCCTCAGTGCGACTAGGGCCAGCAGCGCCCTGATTGCTCCCCCAACAGCAGTTTCCCATCCGACTAGTGCATTCTTTTCCCTCAAAAAAAAAAAGACCGGTGCATTCTTTTACCCTTAAAAAGGACAGCAGTTTCCCGGTTCCCTCTCATCCGCTGGCTTGATTTTTCTTCACCGCCCCGATTGCTCTCTATGCACGCCTTGGTGAGAAGCGGGCGGCTGTGTGCTGCTATTGTGGTCAGCGACTGAGAGAGAGATTGGGATGGGACAAATTGTGAAAGATCGAGTGATGAGAGAGGCTTAGGCTGGGATTGGGATTTCTACTGATTAGCTATTTTTTTATGTGTGCGAGAGAGATGTGCTTATTACTGTAATTTGTGCGGCTGTTGTCGGCGTTTTTTCCAGTGAATGGGAAACATAGAAATCTAGCAGATGGGTAAGAAAAGAAAGGGTACAACAAAGGTAAGAGTAAAGGTGCAAATTTATGGAAAAAATAGATTTCTAAATTTGTGATCTGTGTGGTAAAATAGTGTGACAATGTACAATTCAGTGATCTTAGTGGTATTTTCATATTATGAATGGCGGCATATTATAATTTAATTTACGCCTTAGTGTCCGCCCCACCTCAAATTTTTTTCGTCCTCCGCCACTGGATATGGATGATGTGACCGTTTGCACGCGGGGACAAGTTGGATGACCACAATTCCGTATTTTTAAAGTTTTAGCACTAAACTGAACATCAAGCGCAAGTTCTATGACTTTCGGTGATATTAGCTCGTTTTTATAACCACTGATCAGGGGCGAGCCCATGTTGTGCCAGCAGGTAGCACAGGACACCGGGTAAAAAAAGTGTTACGTTATACCTATAGAGCCCACGTACCCTGGGACACCCCTAATTTTTCTAGAGGGACACCCGTACAAGGCTCCACCCAGCACAACTCAAGTGCAGCCCAGCGCGTGACGAAAGCCCAGCCCAACCTGTCTAATGCGCGCAGTGGATCGATCAATCAATAGATCCATACGTGCTTTCCTATTCGTCCGCTCCACGCTGCGCTTTGTGCCGTTGACCTTTGGCTTTCGTCCGTATCCCCCCGTACGCCGTACTCGCCGCCTATCGCCATATCACGGTGAGTCGTCGAATCAGTGGAGAAAAGAAGGAACAGGTACGCTGCATCAGTCCCCAAACCCAATGCGGTCTGCCTCAGCCTCTTGCATATCCGGTTCTAATTATTGCTTTTTTTCTCTAACCCTAGGGAATTAGGGCTACTGAATAAGACTAGAGATTTTGATTGTATTGGGTAATTGGACTATTTTAAATAATTTCGCACCGAGTGGAGACCAATATTGCAACACTCTAGGACGGCAGCACAATATCAAATAATTTTTATGTTACAACTGTGCAATTGCAATTCAAGTATTCTGTGTGTACACATGATTCATAGTTCTTTTCTTCCTTGCAAATTTTAATTATTTGAATAAATTAGAAATTTCAAGTGAAGCTCGGTTTATTGAAAGGTTTCTAAAAAAGAGGAGAACCTCAATGCAAGATGAAAATGTTGGTCTGTCATACGAACATAATCAGAATGATGTCTCTTTCCCGCCACCATTAGATGGACAAAGTAATGCCTCACCGCATGAACAGGATTAATGTCCCGCTCTGCCATCACCACATGGACAAAATAATGCCTCCAGATATGGAGTTCTGCCAATAATACAAGGAATTCATTTCAAGCTGAAGAAGAGATCAATTGGGAAGGAAAAAAATTGATCGAGGTAAAAGGAGAAGCATTGATGAGTACCATCCAAATTAGCAAGATTTGGTAAGAAGGAAATATTTGGCCAATGGGCCTTCTCAACCTTGTACTTATTCTTAAGTGGATTGCTCTAATGATGTTATTGATTGGTTGCTTCAAGAATTTGATAATAGCTTCACGGAGAAAAATTCTGAACTGCTTGTTCACTCGGCGACTTTGAGCCCAAATGAATTATTTCGTGATTTCAACATAGTGCATTAGATGAGTCTTGCTAAATTTTATCCAAAATATTTTGATGATGGAGAACTCAGGGACCTTAGACATCACCTTCATCTTTACATTATTGTGTCCGAGCAAGATGATCGCTCCTCTGGTTTAAGTAATATTTGTGAGCTCTCTCAAAAAATGGAGACAATAAAACATGTTGTCTATCCCTTGGTTTATCAGACTTATTATTGCACAACTGTAATTAATATTTTTCTAAGTGATTTTGCTTCTTTTGATTTGTAGGCAATCAAGATCTAGTGTTGCATTTTCTTGTCATCGGTTATACTTTATCCATAATCTGGACACTTCGGTTCTTCTTCAACGTTCAATTTCCTGCTATCAACTAATATTTCAAGTGAAACTCTTTATTTTAGATCTCTGGTAAGCATATTCAATGTTATATTGTATTCTTGGTATATTGTATTGTTATAAGTCTGTTACTTTTATCTATATAATTACATGAGATCGACATATATGTGATAGAGATGGGACCCCGGGTCATTTTTGTTCTGGGTCCACCCCTGCCACTGATCATGATAAGTAAATGGTACTAGCGGTCTAAGAACTTACCTTGCGGGTGCACTTCAGTCATGGTACTTGCAAACCGGAAAACCCCTTCAAAAAACTTGTGTTGCGGGTGCAGTTTGGTCACACGGGCCATTTAAACCAGCCAGCCATCGGTTTTCTCTATTTTGCAGTCACACGCGGCCCATGTGACATCGGTTGAGCACCAAAACTGTAATATGGCGCTCACCAGAGTCCCTGGTTGGCCTTGATTTTTTACACCAAGGCCCTTGGCTTCGTAGGTAATTTTGTATCTGACCTCTTAAGTGTTGTGACTCACGTTTTGCACCTGTTTTTTTCATCACAAAGGCCCCTACTGTCGTATATTGATGACCGCAGAGGATACACGACCAGAGAGTATCTTAGATTTTTGGCCCAGACAGGTATGCATCGCCTGCCCTATTTTTTTGCACGTCTCCCTTCTTGTTTTGCTTATCACACCATTCACATTTTTTGAAGGATGTAACGAATTTTTTAAATATACGAGCAATTTTAGATACAGTGTGGACATTTTTCTAAATAAGTGATGAACATTTTTGAATATGTGGAGAATATAAACAGTTGGACTAGTAAACTTTTGACATAGTACCAGCTACACACTGCTTTTCATTTTCTGTTTTTCTTGTTTTTCATTTATTTTTTATACATGTACATTTTTCTCAAATTCATGGACATTTCTAAAACTTAATGGATTTAAAAATCAGCGAACAAATGTTTTACAATAATATATTATTTTAACCTGTCAAAAATGGGTTACTCATTTTTTAAGCTAATAGTTGCCTTTTTTTAACCGGTTTTTCTTCATATCGAGCAGTGCCGAATTTTTGTCGAGCAGAATCGGGAACTTTTGTGAAGCTTGGCCGAGCAGTCATTTTATCTTGGGTGGTTTGTGCAGTTTGGTCCTCAAACTCAGAAAGTGCTCGTTTAAGGTCCCTAAACGAGCTTATATGGTCCACCAACGGTCCTAAATACCACGGCACTCGGTCAAAAATATATTCTGGTGGCTGCAGGAATTTGAGTCAAATTTAAGCAGAACCAGAAACTTTTTTCAAACTTGGGGAACCAAACTTTTTCAACGAATACATTTTCGACAAATACATATGCTTGAAATGCAATGTACTAGAAAGAGCTAGAATAGCCACTGCGGCCATCCAAATTAATATCAAGATACAAGTTTGAGTGCAGCACCCTATGTTGATCGATCACTTAGTTAATTTGTCGCCACTAGTGTAGTGGTGGGATGCTCTGCTCGTTCCTGAAGTAGTCGTGAGGATCCACCTTGCCCTTGGCCATGGCGAGCCTCTTGAAGTTGCCCTTGTAGTACTTGTCGCCCCAAACCTTAGCGGCCGTGTAGCTGGTGACGTTGCCCACAACGACGTTCCTGCCGAGGTCGAGGTCCCTGTAGTTCACGTACGCCTCCCTGGGGTTCTTGCTCACGTAGGGCGCCATGAAGGCGTAGAAGTCCTTGAGCCACCTGGTCTGCGCCGACCCGTCGGTGTCGGCGGACCAGAAGTTCATGTACTGGATGTTGTAGAGCACGCCGGCACGGTGCGGGAACGGCGTCGCCGACTCCGGGAGGCTGCCGATCTGACCGCCGTAGGGGTCCATGATCATGATCCCGGCGTCGGGCTTGACGAGCCAGGCGAAGATCTTCACCCACACGTCCCTGGCGATGGCCCGGTGGACGAAGTCGGAGGTGGCCTTGTTGAAGGTGTCCATGGAGGTGGTCCGGTTGAGGATGTCCTCCACGGTGGCGGTGCTGTCCAGGTAGATGTATGGCACGGACTGGATCCACGTCATCTCCCTGCAGTGCGCCCGGTTCAGGCGGAGCTCTGGGAAGCGGCCGCGCATCAATGGCAGCAGCGTGTCGCAGGTGCCCAGGTACATGGACTGGAACTCGGCCACCTGCTTCGACACGACCACCCTTATGAAGAGGTCTTCCGGGAGAGCCGGCGCGATTTCTTGCCATTTCGTTAGCATGTCGACGGCGCCCTCGTCGACGGACCTCGGGACGCGGAACATGGTCAGCTTGGGCGGGACGGCCACGAGCTTCACCTTCCACGACAGCACGATGCCGAAGCTCTCGCCGCCGCCGCCGCGGAGGGCCCAGAAGACGTCCCTCCCCATGGCCTGCTTGTCCATGAGCTTCCCGTTGGCGTCGACCAGCGTGGCGTCCAGCACGTGGTCGGCGGCCACGCCGTACTTGCGCAGCAGCATGCCGAACCCGCCGCCGCTGAGATGGCCGCCCAGACCGATCGTCGGGCACAGCCCCGCCGGGAAGGCCAGCCTGTCGCTCACCTTGGAGATGGCGTAGTAGAGCTCCCCGACCGTGGCGCCGGACTCCACCGTCGCGGTGGCCGCCTTCCCATTGACGCGCACGGAGCGGAGGTTGGCAAGGTCGACCACCGCGAACACCTCGGGCCGCTCGGACCGGAACGAGAGGCCCTCGTAGTCGTGCCCGCCGCTGCGCACGCGGATGCGCACGTCGTGCCGGCGGCCGCAGACAACGGCGGCCTGGACGTGGGAGGCGTTGATCGCTGTGACGATGCAGAGCGGCCGCACCGTGCTAGGCGTGAACAACCTGGGGTTCCGGATGGAGGACACCAGGACCGACGTAAACGATGGCGAGCTCTGGGTGTGCAGCAGAGGCTTGGGTATGGCTGCGGAGAGGCATTGGAGGAAGCCGTGGGAGGAAGCTAGGGAAGGGACGACGGATGCGTAGCAAGAGAGGAGGCCGAAGAGGAGCGCAAGAGCTAAGCTCCGAGACGAGGCCATTGCTTGTTTATTTTTTCTTCTTGGATGGAGTGCTCACCTTGCATGGTATCGAGCTCTACATATAGCCCTAGATCGCTCTCCAGCTGGCAGCTCTGTACATATTAATGTCGTGGTCAACTCTTAAGAGCAAGTACAATAGAGCTGAGTCAGCGGGCTATAAGGAATAAACTAATATATTTGTGCTTAGTTGGAGGAAAAAGAAGAGGAGAAAGAAGATAAGCGGGCTCTTCGTGAAGAGCCAGCTCTAGCACGTGCTCCTAGGCACTTTGTGAGAATGAAAGGTGGGCCACATAATAAAAAAGTAGTACACTCTTTTGTAGATGACATGGCACTGACTATAAGATGGGCTGTAGATGACATGGCACTGACTTATAGCCAGCAGCTGGCTATACTATTAACCATGCTCTAAGATGGTGACCGACGTGCGGTGAGTGATTGATCTAGGGCACGTCAAACAAGAGGGCGATGGGAACTGAACCCACAGGTTGAGCAGAACTAGAGTCGTCGGATCTGTCAAGCACTTCAAAATTTATACCGAGCATCCCGCAAAAAACAAATAAACATTTATACCGAGCAGGAACGGCCAGTCGCTAGAACGCACCTCCAGGAACGCGCCCGGCGGAGATGGTTAGCAGCATGCGATCATGTCGCCTAACAGTTGACGCGCGCGAACTCCTCGAATTTCGCCCACATCCGATTAGGTACAAATGGCCTCCTGCCTAGGACCGGGAAGATGTGTCATTGCAGCCACCGTCGGGAAATAGGAACTAGGAGATCCACTGTCGGCGTAGACCAGGGATAGAGAATCGTCGACCGGTCCAGTTGCAATGGAATTTTCTTGGGGCCGTTGCAATGGTCCAGTTGCGAGGGTTCCTGTACCGCAAGGAGGCTAGCCTCCATCACCGTCAGGCAGGCTTCGGCCGATGGCTTCCTCCGGCGACAGTGAGGCGATCAAGAAGGGAACGAGGTAAGGTGGCGGGAAAGGTTTTGCTAGTTGCCGGGGTCTTTTCTTTTTCCGAGGGAAGTCCGAGGTGTGTTGAGAGCGAGACTTCCAACTAAATCGGTTTTCATCACATATTTAACTAAAAATATTTAATTATACTCCTAAAAATTATACCTTTTTATATGCATTCGAGAATATTTCTGGTGGTCCCACAAAAAAATTATTTCTAGTGACATATCACTTGTGAAACAAAGCTCATTTTGTTTACTAATTTGGTTGTCAAAGTGTAACTCAAAATACACGGTAGTGTGTCTACTGGAACGGAGGTGCTCTGATTCTATATGTATAAAAATAGACCTCTTGCTCTGCTCTATGCGCGTCAAATGGAAAAGCGCATAGATCGAGCTATGCGGAAACCAGTGGTCCGATGCCTTTTTGTTTGAGACCTTTTACGGTGCATCAAATCAATTTGAGCCGTTCATTTCTATCACTTGGAGGGCCCAAATAAGCCAATACTACAACAGATATTCGGCAGTATATTGAGTCATTAGGATCATTTTGGGTACTCTAATATTTATTAATCTCTTTCCCCGCCATGGCGCAGTCCATACGTCCAGTTCTTTTGGCCAGACGACGCACGACGAAAACGATGAAACAAAGCTGATGGTATTGGTTCGTACTCCAAGCTGGGCTGTACTGCAGTGCACAGCGACCTAGAAAAGCTACGCTAATAGACTCGCCGCCGGCCGGATACACAAAATCAGATCGCGGCTTTCTCTCGGGCCGCACCCGCGGGGCCGCTCCAGCAGCCCGAGGGAGCAGTGGCGACGAGGTCGCACACGCATTCGCTCGTGCCTCCGCGCAAGGAGGCTGACGGAGTGCACCGAGGTGTCAGACGGTGTCGCCCGCCGTTGCAGGTTGCCGTCGCACCACGCCTGTGCCGCCTTGCTCGCCATCGCACCGCTCATCATCTTGCTGTTGCTGCTCATCAAATGAAAATCAAAATGGATAGCGCGGCGCACGCCACACCAAATTGTGTCGTTCCGTGCACGCATTGGTGCAGCAGAGTCGGTATAGCGCCAGAGCGGGCGTTCTTGCACCGGCGCACTGCATGGAGACTTTGCAGCAGCGATGCCTCGCCAGTAGCGCACGAACGGTGCCGCGTCGAATCGGATGGGTAAATTTAAATAATTAGAATTATTAATTGTGATTAAAACTAACAAAGAATAAATCTATGTCTAATAAGAAATTACCAATATGTCCTAGCGCGAAAATTTGAACGATCCATACTAGCCGGTGGATCTAGCAAATACTACCTATCATAATGGGTAGTATGATGCACTGTAAAAAACCTCTTTCGTTTTTGTTTTTGTGTAAAC